GGTAACTATATATTTAATGTAAATCCAATGATCTAAGTAATAGGTAATACCTCACTTCCTAAATGCAAACCACAAACTGTTCTAAGTTAGCTCAATAGAGTATAGTATCTACTTAAATCAAACAAGAGAGTGCCATAACATGTCTAGTGAAACATATCCATAAGTGGAAAAAAAATATCAAAACGCCTGACGCGCATTTCGTTGCTATCCAGTGAAGCACCTTCATCAGAGGAAAACCAGCAAATGCTGGGAAAATCTGTTATATACCTGAGTTCCCGTCATTGCCATCAATTAAATCAGCATCCCCTAGGAAGGCGCCAAATTCATATCATGGGGCTATTCCAAGCAATTATGATTTGAACATCCTTTCAAATCTTAATTTCTTACACATCAATGTGAGCATCAGTAACAAGTACCCATTACAATTAATATATATATATATATATATATATATATATATATATATATATATATATATATTATATTATATAATCTATATCTCTATCAACACACATGGGGATAACTTCAGTATTTGTGCCCTCCTCTCTTTGGCACATTCACTTTGGTGCCATGTTGGGTCTATATAGATATATATTACCATTGTCCGGAATAGCAGCAGCAATGTCAAATATAGCATCCATCTGTTTATTATACCGGGTAACGTAGCAACCCGGGGTTTTGTGTGGGAGGTATTGTGTTTTAGCATATGGGTGGTAGCCAGGCACAGCTTGGTGAATGTGACGCCCGAGCTCCGCCCCACCTTCACGACGTGACCACGCTAGCCCTGTCCATGATATAAATTCAGCGCAGGAACTTCATACACACGCCTTCCTAGGGAATGCTGATTTGAGAAGTGAAGAAGTGCCAACTCACAATATAAAGAGCTATGCCCAGCTCTAGGTAAAACAGCATACAGTGGTATTTAATACTCCCTGCATGTAGGATATAACTGGATATTTGGAGGTGTATCCTCACGACTTCTTACAGCATCCCAGATAAGCGTCAGCATATAAAACATATAAAAGGGGGGAAAAAACCCAATGGTGCAATAATGTAGGTTAACTGCAACAACAGACAACACACAGGTCCTAAGAGTGCCAACTTACAATTGGGAGAGCTATAACCAGCTCTGAGTAAAACAGCATACAGTGGTATTTAAACTCCCCATATGTAGGATGCCCTTCTAGCGATGTTTGCAGTCCCGGTCTTATGAAATAAGAATCACACGAGAGGGCCCATAGTGTTTACCGTTTAAAAAAAATAGCAGTGAAAGGTAAAATGAAACGTACTTACAGTGTTCAGAGCAGCCACACTGCTCTATGAACCGGGCATAGGTGGAATAATCCCCACCAGGGATTTCTTTTGTAGTACTGGATCTGTAAAATGATAAAAAATCAGCCAGGATAAAACAGCAACAAATAAAAGTAAGTGTGCTAAATACTTTTATTGGATTCTTATAAAAACACAACGTGTTTCGCCAAAAAAACAGGCTTTATCAAGTGTAGGTAATTTAATAATTTAGGTAGTGTAATAAGTAATTTAAATTAAATAAAATGGAAACACAATAATAAAAATTAAAAAAAACATATCTATATGCAATTTTATTCTAACTGTATTTTAATAATATTTAAATTCCAGGTGCATATTTATGTAATATTTTTACACAATTAAGTAATTGTATTGATTGCAGTTTGAGGGACCTGCCTGCCAACCCAGGTCGAAAGTCCACAGAATTTAATTTGCTAGCACTATATTTTACCCTGTAACTTTCTATGACACCCTAAAACCTGTACATGGGGGGTACTGTTTTACTCGGGAGACTTTGCTGAACACAAATATTAGTGATTCAAAACAGTAAAACATATCGGTTAGGTTGCCTTTGAGAGTGTATGGTAGCCCAGGAATGAGAATTAATGATGTAGATTTAATTAATAAATTGATTATCTTGCGTATCTGCTCCCGGCCAAATTAAAGAAATAATGCGTGCACACTCCTAAAGTAATTCACACCAGACACAGGTTTCGGGTTAATGAAAAACTTGAGGAATGTTTATTCTGAGGGGACGGCATATCCCTTATAAAGCAAAATTATATCATATGCATTGTCAGAGATAACATGGAATAATACATCAATAATTGGTTAGATGTTAAGTGGTTCATTTAGTGCTCTTCCTACTGGGTGTGATGTCACTGGTATCCTGGAGGTCTTCCCTAGATTCCAGCGCCATCTTGTTAATGAGGGTGTTAGTCGATGTCAAAGGGAAACTCCCTAGCGGCCATTTTAGGTAAATCACATAGAAAGTTGAATAATGCTGATTGTAGTTATATTGAGTAAATAGGCATTTTACCAACATGGATTGCAAATGGGGTATGTCCAGTCTTTTTTTTAGTTGCCACTTAGTCACAAACAATGGCCAAAATTAGCGTTCAATTTAGTTTTTTTACTTTTTTCACACACAAACAAATATGAACGCTAACTTTGGCTTAGTGTGACTAAGTGGCTACTAAAAAGACTGGGCATACCCCATATTGAATACCCTTGGTTGTCTACTTTGAAAAAATATGTACATGTGGGGTGTTGTTCAGAGATTTATGCCAGATAATAGTGTTACAATGTCACTATTGATAAATTTTAAAAATGTATGTTTTGGAAAAAAAAGCAAAGAAGCATATAAACACTGGGTATTTTTAAACTCAGGACACAATTTTGAATCTATTAAGCATTTTATTTTCGTTTGCTTTTGTAGATGAGTAAAAAAAAAATTTCAAGTAAAAAAGCATGTATTTTTCAATTTAATTTTTTTATCATTTTTTTTTTTTTTAATTCAATTACATGAGATTATATAAATAGTGATATGTAAAGAAAGCCCTTTTTGTCCGGGGGAAAAAAAAAACCAATATATAATTTGTATGGGAACAGTAAATGAGAGAGAGCGGAAAATTACAGCTAAACACAGCAGGTCCCCCATGCTCAAAGAAAAAAATTTTAGTTGAGAGATTCCACCTGAAGTATGTGGATAGTTAATACAATGCTAAACAAAAATCTGCACACCAGTCAAGCCATAAGACTTGCTTTTCCCACAGAAATCCCAAATCAGCAGTGATGTTACAACCGCAAAGGATTCTGGGTGGGCATATGCAAATTAGTTTAACAAAGAATCACATTTTTGCCTCATTCCATTTTAAACATGGATTCCTTTTAATTTGTGTTTGCAGTATACAACTGCTTGGAACACAATTTAGGATGAGATGCAAAACCAGTGAACCACTCATGGACAGCTGTTTCGTTGTTAATGCAACTCTTCAGCATGAGGTTGGTTATTGGTTTGCTTCTGGAGGCTTGGTAGTGCTTGTGAAGCAAGATCCAAATAGATTATGGTGGGGAAAAATTGTGATTGAAAACCCCTTCCACCTGAAGTATGTGTATCCACATACTTCAGGTGGAAGGGGTTTTCAATCACAATTTTTCCCCACTATAATCTATATATATTCTATGTATGTATATGTAGAAAGGCCATTAGGCCTGAATTTGTGGGAGGAGTAAGTCCCCTACTTAAACACCCAGCCCTTACCTCTGACGTTCGAGTTCAAGTGTTCCTTGTTCTACTTCCGGTTCACGAGTCATCACGTTTGTGTCATTTCCGGTCCGGGCGTCTCGTGTATCAGCTGCACGGCTGAATCCTCCGTGCTACTGGCGGTCCGGCAGAACCCTCCGTGCTATCGGCGGTCCTAATTGTGAGTCCTCTCATTCCGGTCCCCTCCACATCGCTCTGTGGTTCAGCGGGGGGCCAGAACACTAATGACAGGTAAATCTTACCGGGGACCAACCACGCTCCCCTCACGCCAGCATCATCTCTTTCATACACCCGTCTGGGGGGCTCCTACACCCCCTCCCCCACCCCCTCACGGTCTTAAAAATCCGAAAAACATTATTTGATGCTAGGGGTATATATTTAAATCCAAACTAATGCTGTTATAAGAGGCTATGCTGTTAATTGTATGGGAAAAGGAAGGCTTGCCAGTTTTTACCATATTATGTATGACATATGTATTACATGAACGTTCATTCATACTTTTCCATATATTTTATGGATCAGTTCACAGATCTAGTTTATTGGGCTGACATCGCCACCTAGTGGTTTTTTATGGTACTTACTGTTTTATTCTGTATAATATGCAGCTTCCCTGCAATTAAATTACTATTTACACAATGTTATACCATGCCTTAAACGTGCAAATTAATCTCAGCCCTGTAAAAAAAATAATAATAAAAAAAAAAAAAAAAAATATCTCTTTGATCTCCACAGATCGCACTTATATATTACGGCTAAATTGCAATAAAAAAAAAACGGGGTTCTTATCCTTAAATCCAGGTTTCCATTCTACGCTAGCACCAACCGTTTAGCCCATAGTTGTTACGTGAACTGGCTCACAGGGTCTGAAAGTCAGACCAAGCTCACCGAGGCATTTACAAACCATCTCCCAAACCTCAACACGGAGGTATGGCCCTACGCCCAAATCATAGTTAATCGCCTCATTCGCTCTTCTACAGGGCCGTAGTTAGGGCCTCACTCGTCACGGCCACACGTTTGAACCTTTTAAATGTCACGAGAGGCCAACATCCCGCCACCACATCTGTGGCAACATAATCCCAAATCATAGAGCCTCTCACCGCCACTTGGCATTAGCAGGGCCTCAACCGTCACTAGTCTAAGTTAATTTTTTGCTTCGGAAGTAATCCTACAGTCCAGTTCACATAAACAATTTACCCCCCCACCCCCCCTTGATATAGTTTTCTCAGACGCCCCTACTAAACCCAACTCATTTAATTCATTTCTAGAATGGACGAGGTACCTGATGAGGATATAATATCTACTCCTATCAGACCAGAGTCCCCAGGAGTATCTCTCGCCCCTTCTACCCCTACGTCTATGAGAGCATGGACTATACCTAAAATCACAGCCTAACTTAGGCTCAGGGGCATCCCCTTTCCAGCTACGGCCCGAAAGGCGGAATTATACAGACTGTTGACCAACCAAGCCCCAGAGCCTAGGCCAGGCACAAGCTCTCAAAGTCAAGCTTCTGGCGCTGGCATTGCCACCCAGGACACCCTTGCGGCAATCCTGGCCAACCTGCAGACCTTAAACAGCAGGTTAAGCAAGGTGGAAAGTGCCATAGCCTCCCCAGGTAACCTTCCTGTTTCTATAGCCCCAATCCCGGCTGTACCTATGGCACCAACACCCGTCCCTACACTTCCCCCTCCAGCTCCTGCTCCAGTCATGTCGCATTTCGTGTCACCAGCTCACTCCGTCCCAGACTCCATTAGGAAGGAAATCCTAGATGGGAAGGATGTGTGTCTGGTGTCATTACTTATTGCCTCCCAAGACGTACTGGAGAACAGGGCTTATAATTTTGGCAATATCTCGGTGGTTCTTAAAACCAGAGACCCAAGGCTCAACAAAAAGTTGTCAATTCCCAATTTCGTGTTGGCCTTCGGGATATACCGGGATGTCATCTGCTCGGTATATCCCCACAGGAGAGAGGAACTGGACCTCTATCTCCATAAAGTGGTGGATTTGGGCGTTAAGTACGGGGGCTCATCTTTTTACGATTATCATAAATCGATATCAGCAAAAGCGGCGACCCATCTGAAACAGTTTAATGTAAGAATTAACTGGTATCAGATGGATACAGAACTATTCTGTCGCCACTTCGCTGGTCTGAGGCCCCCGTCTTGCGCCATATGCAATTCCTCAACCCACTTGGCTGATTTGTGCCCTTCTATGGCTGACCCATCCACCCCCACTCCCACCCCTCAATCATCTTCCACTCCTCACCTTAAACAGGAAGGCGGACAGAGGGATAAACTAGGGAGGCCCATCTCCTTTTTGGGGAAGGCGCAGGTGTGCAACAACTTCAATGCAGGTTCCTGCAGCTTCAGCACTTGTAGATTGTTGCACATCGGCTCCATCTGTTTCAGGGCACACACTAAGACCATGTGTCCGGCCAAGTTGTCCCCTAACAAATGAGTAACCGACGTTAATATCGACAACCTGGCCTTTTACCTTAAAGATCACCCAAGTAAACATCTGGCGGAGTTTCTAATTACAGGATTTTCCCAGGGTTTTCACGCGGGTCTTGTGGCCATCCCCTCAGGGATACTGGAATGCCCTAATCTCCTATCAGCTTGTGTAGACCCGGAGGCCACGAACGTTCTCCTCTCCACAGAAATAACTCAAGGGTTCATGATCGGCCCCTTCACCTCCTCACCGTTTTCCTCCTGGCGCACTAACCCTATCGGTATAGCTGTACACAAATATTCAAATAAAAAATGTATGATTATTGATTTATCGGCACCGCACTCCTCTTTTGTTCCTAGCATCAACGCACTCATCCCTGCAGACAAATTCTCACTACAATACGTTAAAATAGACGACGCCATACAATCCATCATGTCAACTGGCAGCAATGCTTGGCAAAAAAGACATTGCCAACACTTTCAAACTACTGCCCATGCACCCATCACTTTGGCACTTGCACGGTGTTAAATGGCGTAACAGGTACTATTTTTCCATGCGCCTCACTTTCGGTTGCAGAAGCAGCCCCAAACTCTTTGATATTTTCGCGGAAACGCTATGCTGGCTGCTTCTGAACATTATTAGGTGTCACGCCGTCATTCACTACTTGGATGACTTCCTCATCATAGAACCAAGCACACGCACACCCACCGATATCCTCAGCACCTCTGCACTTTTTTACACCCTCGGGGTACCTTTGTCTCCTGCTAAAACAATTGGCCCCACCACCAAACTCACTTTCTTGGGCGTAGAGCTAGACTCTGCTACCTTCCGCGCCAGCCTTCCCACTGAAAAACTCATCCGCCTGAGAGGGGAAATAGACAGGTTCCTGCGGAGCGATGTATGCACCAGGAAAGAACTTCAGTCCTTATTGGGGTCCCTGAATTTTGCAATGCGCATCGTTCCGCAGGGCAGATCTTTTGTGTCCAGGCTCCTTTGTCTGCTTCATGGGGTACCGGACGCCTGCCCTATTGCGTTGGACCAGCACGCCAAAGCTGACCTAAGCATGTGGGGGCAGTTTTTGTCCCTATGGAACGGTATCTCCATGTTTATTCCCCCCCCTCTCAGACTCCTCTCCCTGCATTTACACTGACGCTGCAGCCAACACGGGTTTTGCAGCTATATTTGGTAATCACTGGTTTAGGGGTCACTGGCCAGCTGAGACGGATGCCTTGCCGGGGTTTAGAGAAACTTCAGCTCTATTTGAGATTTACCCCATTGTGGCAGCCGCACACACTTGGGGTCACCTCTGGTCCGGCAAGGCAGTAAAGTGTTATTCCGACAGCTCGTCAGCTTGCAATATCATCAACAAAGGGCGCTCATCCTCTCTTACCATTATGCGGCTGATTCGCAAGCTGACCTGGTTGGCAGTGACCGTGCAGTTCCACCTAATTTGCCTTCACATCCCGGGTATTCACAACACGGCTGCTGACACTCTGTCTCGATCTCAATTTCAGGTGTTTTTCCAGGCACTCCCGTCAGCCCATCATCAACCATTCAGAACACCGAATTTTCACGAGCTAATCTTGGATTAAACACACTTATGCACCACGCTAGGACACTTACTCACCAAGCACTATCACCAAACACTACTATCACCTACAGTAGGGCACTCACCATTTTCAACAAATTTACTGCTGAATTCGGATTTTATTAAGACACGGAGGCTCCTATTATGCTGCACTCTTTCTTTATTTACCTCAGCAGCAAAAAAAAATAACATTAAATCAGTATAAAAGAAACCAGTAAATAACATGAGGTATATCTTCCTAGCAACAGGAACAGCCAATCAGCATCCTCTTTATAGCATAATAGGCAGTGTCCAGTATACTACTTCCTCTTTCTTTGCTGCTACCTCAGTTAAGTAACACTGGGTCCCATGGTTCTTAACTGTGGGATCTTTTACTTTACTTTATTCATATAATTACTGTGGTTAATATAGTTATTATAGTTATTACATTTTAGTTATAATATTTTCATGTTTATAAATATATTTAGTTACTTCATTTTAACGTAATTTGATTTATTTACTTCATTTGCATCTGTTATATGCTTTATTGTATATCCTTTGATAATGTATTCCCCCTCTGATCTCCCTGGCCCCAAGATTACCATCAATTGTGCTGTTTTTTCCCTCCATTTATCTGTCTGGCTGCTGCTCTGCCACCAACTGCCAGAAATCCAAGTTGGGGTTTAGTGGTAGTGGTAGCCGGGCAGATCCTTTGTTTTTATATTACAATTGCTATTTTTTTTTTTTATTTTTTTTCACTATTGTGAGTACTTTCATTTCTTTATCCTGTTTAGTTATTTATTTATTTTTTACTTGAGGGTTACTCAACCCTTTCCTTTTGGTATTATTTTGCTTTATTCATCCCCTTAGGTTTGTTTGTATATTTATGATGCAGTCTGACAGGATCTTTCTGTGCCTTCTGGGTCTACAGCAAACATGCAGATTAATGTAGAAGCCTCTCCAGGTATCTCTGGAGATGAGGCTGAATTTCTGCTTTACTGATCCTGCTGACATGCAGGCTTTAATTGACACTTCCATGGCAAAAGCAATGACAAGGCCCTGGTGTCAGGCCGCAAGGCCTCATATAAGGCTAAACACTCCTCCAAAACAATAGAGATGGACAGTATCATACCTGTCATGGATGGCGTGATTAATTTACCACCGCGCAAAAGAGCTACTAGTCGGGCAAAATCGACTAGACTTTGGAAAAGGGCAAAAGCCCAATTAAACTCTGAATCCGAGTTCACTGATATTGAGGAGAAGTTCCCCGAGTTCTATATGGAGGTGTACCTGTACTCACACCTGCGCTGTTTCAGCCTGGTCGCAAGGCCTCATATAAGGCTAAACACTCCTCCAAAACAATAGAGATGGACAGTACCAAACCTGTCACGGATGGCGCGATTAATTTACCACCGCGCAAAAGAGCTACTAGTCGGGCAAAATCGACTAGACTTTGAAAAAGGGCAAAAGCCCAATTGAACTCTAAATCTGAGCTCATGGATATTAAGGAGGAGTTTCCCTGAGTACTATATGGAGGTGTATCTGTACTCACACCTGCTCGGCTTCAGCCTAGCCGCAAGGCCTCATATAAGGCTAAAAACTCCTCCAAAACAATAGAGATGGACAGTTCCATACCTGTCACGGATGGCGCGATTAATTTACCACCGCGCAAAAGAGCTACTAGTCGGGCAATATCGACTAGACTGGAAAAGGGCAAAAGCCCAACTGAGCTCAGGCTCAGTGATATTGAGGAGGAGTTCCCTGAGTCCTATATGAAGGATTCAGAGGATATTTCTGATCCTGATTATGAAATTACTGATGAAGAGGATGCTAATCCCGTTTGGGATACACGTCCTGTTAAACCTACCAAGATTTAGGTAGATTATGCGGACTCAGGGACACCGATAGGATCTTGGACACTCAATGTGAACCCCTATTCGAACCTGATGACCTATGTCACCCAGTGGTCTCCTCAGACCATGTAGCCAAGTATATTGCATCCAGAGTACGCAAGCCTTTTGAGAAGGCAAAGTGAAATAAATTGCGGGCTGAATGGCCACGCCGAACAGTCCCTGATGACTCATGTTAAATGCTATCAGTCAATCCTAAAATCATTCAATTCCTGAGTAAGACAGGATGGAAGCCATCTAAAGGCTTAGATTTTCATTGCAAAACTGTCAGGATAAAATCCTGGGCATCTTGGGCTCAGCAGCCAAGATCTTTGAAGCAGTGGAGGATGATCTAGAATTAGATTGCGCCATCTTAAGTGGTTAGATCCAGAGAGTGATTTAAGTTGGCAACGCCAACAATGCGGTTGTCACAGAACGCCACAAATCGATCTTGCTCAAGATTGAGCCCAACCATTTAACTATGGCTCTGAACGAGCCAGCTAACACAGGCAAAAGGTTTTCTCTTTGGGGACAACTTTGTAAAAGAATTGGGCTCCTTTGTCCTGCTAAACAAACAGAAGTTCTTTTAGACAGAACCAAGGCTCTTATACTTGCCGAGCCGATTTCTTTGAACAATGCACTATACCAACCTCCTTCTCACAAAATGGCCAACCCTGGATTGTTAGTGGACTAAGAGGTGCTCCTAAGACGTCTTCACAATTTCCATTCTTTCTTACTGATAGTAGGGGGCAGGCTCACACATTTTTCCCATGTATGATCCCTCATTTCATCAGATGCTTAGGTTCTTCACACTGTGAAAGGGTATTGAATAGACTTCCTTTCTCTACTTGTTCAATGTTCCCCATCAAGGGAAATTGTTTTTTCCCAATGAGACAAAGACCTTGTCTCTGTGGACAATCAATCGTAGTGATTCTGGCGCATACCCTGGGTTACGTGAGCAACCTTTTCTTGTTTCCCAAAAAAGGCAAAGGTATCCGTCCAGTGATAAATTTGAGACTGCTCAATAGTTATGAGCATATCAGCACTTCCAAGATGGAAGGAGAGCATTGTTTAAGGGATCTTCTCCAACCAGCAGATTGGATGGCCAAATTGGATCTGCAGGAGGCATATCTCACAGTGCCTATCCCAGTACAACATCACGATCGAGAACTTCATGCAATTTACATGGTAGGGCAGTAAATAGAGGTTCAGGTGCCTCCCATTCGGACTGTCTTCGGCTCCATGGTGCTTCACCAAGCTCACATCTTATAATATATTTAGATGGCATTTTCATTCTGGCTCAGTCTATTCAATTAATCCGGACATACCTTGCATGGACTTTGACTCTGTTAGAGAACCTAGGCTTCCTGACCAATTGGGAGAAATCCATTATCGTACCCACGCAACAAATAAAATTTCTGGGGTATATTGGATTATTGTAGATTCTACCCTTCAAACTCTACACCCTCCAGTGGCAAAATTAGCCAATATAAAGGAGATAGGCGAACACTAGCAACCTCTCAACTCTCTCTCAAACTGTTGAGAATGTTAGGCCTTCTAGCGGCATCTATATAGGCCATTTCTACAGGTCTTCTTGGCTATCGAGCCCTTCAACGATTACAAACTTCATCTCAAGGGCAGCGCATCATACACAGATATGGTAACTCTGGACTCAGAAGCGGAGGATGAACTCCAATGGTGGCTTCTTCACATGGAAGCTTGGAATAAGCACACCATATTTTGTACAGCTCAGGATTTGATAATCAAATCCGACGCAAGTTTGCACAGTTGGGGTGCTCAATGCGGAACTATTTCCACCAAGGGCAGATAATAAAACCTGGAATCAACACTCCACATCAATTGTTTGGAACATCTGGCCGGTTCCTTTGCAGTCCATAGTCTCTCCACAATTCAAGCCCAATGCACTATTCTTCTGAAGATGGACAACGTGTCAGCAGTCCGCTACATCAATCACTTGGAGGCACAAAATACAAAATTCTGACCTACATGCCTCGTGATTGCTGGCAATTTTGCCTGAGACACGGCATTTCAGTCACGGCAGAATATATTCAAGGTCTCTCCAACACTACGACGGACTGGTATTCACGCCAGCGACTGATACCATGGTATTGATACCATGGTCTTCCAAGACATCTGGAACCTATGGGGTCTATTGGAAATAGATATTTTCGCTTCTCGTTTGAATGCTCAACTTCCCCGTTTTTTCAGTTGGAGACCAGATCCGATAGCACTGGCTATGAATGTTTTCTCCAAGGAATTATGATTTTTTGCCTTTCCATCTACATCGCCAGTCCGGCACCTGTTGATCGTGGCTCCTCTATTGCCGTCCCAACTATAGTTCTCTTCTCTTCAGGAGATGGTTATCGACCTTCCATCTCTCGAGTGCCTTCTTCAGGATCCAGATGGTGTACCTCATCCTCTTGTTCTCCAAGGTCTCTTGCATCTCATAGTGTAGTCTATTTCACGGAACCTTGGTCGGTCAAGGGAGTTTCGCAATCAGCTCCCCAACTTATCAAGGGTGCACCCAACACGAGACAGGCTTATAAATCTGCTTGGAGCAGATGGCATAGTTTGTGCATGAAATTAAATCCCATAGCGGCCCCTTTTATGTCTGTCTTCCATTTTTCTGACTTCTATGATGAAGGTAAAGCCTATCGCACTGTGGACCTTACCGATCGTCCATTTCTGCTGGCCATCAAAGTTTTGATTGGACGCCTGTCGGTTGACATCCTGTCATATATTGACTTCTCTGAGGAATATGGTTTGCTCATTCACCCTTACCACGATACTGTCTTGTGGGATGTCTCTATTGTCTTGAATTTTTATTTTTATTTTTTTTTTCTTGCAAGAGGTTTTTCTGACGTACGAGCTCGTGAGGTGGTTGCTCGTTCCTTTACTCCAGAAGGTGTCCTCTTTGACATTTCACAGAGGACAAAAACCTCCTCTAAAATCTATCTTACCCGGTTTTCCCTGATAGATCTCTCCTTTGCCCTGTTGCATACTAATGGGTGTGTGAACATCGTTCTACTACGTTACAGAATCCTTTGAAACAGGAACTCTTCATCACCTTCCAAAAGTCGCGTCTTCCGGTATCTACTCTAGCCTGGTGGGTCAAATACGTTATGTCTCTAGCAGGTATTGATACCTATGTGTCTGTGCCTCATTCGGTTCGTAGGGCAATGGCTTCTAAGGCTTCCTCGATTGGTTGTCGCTTGGAGGATATTCTGAGAGCGGCTGGTCTTCGGAGTCTACATTCCATGATTTCTACTTTAGACCTATTCAACACTTCACAGGAGACATAATTTCACAGCTTTGAACTAGCATAATAGGAGCCTCCGTGTCTTAATAAAATTTACAGATTTTATTATTAACATGACGCAAAGTCATGATTTTATTAATGACACGGAGGCGAGTATTATCCCTCCCTCCCATCCCTGGAGGTTTGGTCTTCTCTGGGTAAGTTGACTTCACGGTAAGTCTTTTTTGATTACTGGGTTTTATCTTTGTTAATGACTGTCAAGAGCTTAAGGTTTGACTAAACTGAATTTCATGTTATGTGTATATATATCTGATATTTCATGTAATGCGAATTTATGCATAAATCCAGTTTTATACTTGGATATTACCATATTCTCCTTTCTCTTCCAGCTTGACTTCGAGATCCAGTTTAAGGCTCGTATACCCTCTAATTGGAGCCCACTTTTTATTTGGATTTGTTGTCCTTGTTTGGGATCGCAAGAAAGAGGAAGTAGTATACTGGACACTGCCTATTATGCTATAAAGAGGATGCTGATTGGCTGTTCCTGTTGCTAGGAAGATATACCTCATGTTATTTACTGGTTTCTTTTATACTGATTTAATGTTATTTTTCTTTGCTGCTGAGGTAAATAAAGAAAGAGTGCAGCATAATACTCGCCTCCGTGTCATTAATAAAATCATGACTTTACGTCATGTTAATAGTAAAATCTGTAAATTACAAGGGGATTTCTCAACCCAAACTATGGTGGCTTTTGCCTCTTTTTGCCATTTACATTTAAAACCTTCCCACAAGACCATTAAATTATACCTCATGGGGGTGCACACCACAGCCTCACAAATTTCCCTAACACCCCCGTTTTATCATCATACCCCATAAAGAAAATCTTAAAGGGGATCTCTAAAGTATCAGTTCCACCTATCACCACCAGACTATCTATAGATGGGCCTATCTTTAGATTGCTGAGCAACCTCCTCGACAAATCCCCTTTTGATCCCAACACTAACCCGGTGATCAAATCTGCAATCTATTTGGCTTTTTATGGGTTCTTAAGACCTAGGGAATGTACTGTCATTTGTCAAGGGGATACCACTCACAGCCTCAAAACCTCACAACTCACTAAAAAAGACAACTATTACATTCTCACAATCCAATCTACCAAAACAAATCAGTCCCTACACCCCACTATTATTCCTCTCTTTCCAACAGACAATGCTTGGTGTCCAGTTAAGACACTAGACATGTTACGGTCAGCTTATAGCACACACCTACCAGACTCACCACTATTACAACTACAAGAGCACCCACTCACTACAGCAAAATTCACCACATATGTCAGAACCTTACTGGGAAAATTGGGTTACAACCCAACTTCATTCTCCGGGCATTCCTTTCGCAGAGGAGCCGCTTCATCAGCTTCTAGCACTAACACCCCGGTCCACATCATAAAGAGACCGTCAGGTTATACCTGCTGGGTTTCGCCGAATTAAGACACATCCGGGTTGACGGAGTTTGCCCCGCCCCTTCTCTGACGCGGTCGTCCCACGCTACATAGGAAGACCGCGCCAGATTCAAAGCACTGGATTATTGAACAAGTTCCTGTGTATCTCTTACCGGCTACCGATTACATTTAAGCTCTTCCGTGTACCGAACCCGATCTGAAAACCGACTACCCGCCTTCTCCACTCCTCGACCTCGGACTGTTTAATGG